GATTATAATAAGTTTACTAAGTTATTTTCTCTATCACTTGCACAGTTTTGTATATGTAAAACTATAGGTCAGGCAGCTGAAGGTGAATGGTTGCTAATTCTGATCCCTCTGATCTTCCAGGTTTGAGAGGTTTTTCCAACATACCCTTTTCAATCTCCTCCTTTAAGTTACCTCCATGGAACTGCTATTGTTGTAGGAAGGAAGGCTGATAGTTCTTTTTGGAGGTTTTCCCATGTTCTGGATAGAGCTGTTCTGTGGCTCTGAAGGCTGCTGTGAAGTATCCTAAATTTTCATGGCGTGAGGGAGATGAGACCTTCTTTGACTTTAAATATATATACAGTCTCCAAAATGACCTGATAAAGGTATTGATCACTTACATTCTCTGCCCTAACCCTACACGTTCATCCTGTTCTGATTGAATGTGAGACAACAAGAACATTCTGCAGTTGTTTCCTTCCTTCATTTGCAGGAGAAGTGTTAACACATTTTCATAACATACCCTCACAATTTTTCCATGCAAATAATCAAGCACGATAAATATCAGCAGAGGGCGCTATTGAGGTATAAATAGAATAATAATAAATTGAAATTAAAAAAAGGAGTTGCCATGTGTTTTCAGTTTTCATTCATAAAATCACAGCATAATTTACAATGAAAGGGGCTCTGAAGGTCATCAGGTCAATCCCTGCCTCAGAGAGCCAAATTGAAACTAAGATACAATTACTGTGGCCATGGTAATGTGTCTACATTTTTGGATAATCTGTAACAACCTGCAATCAGATTAGTTTTTCTCCAAACCATTTTTGTATTCACTTGTAAGACTGGATGCAAAAAATGCCCAGAGCTGAAGTGTAGTTATTTTGTATGAAGAATACTAGAAGAAAAAGTTTTAACCATTTTTGTTTCCAAAGTCAGTAAATAGTATTTTTTAACAGTTGCTCAGCAACTTTAATAATAATAGTAAGCAAGCATGAAAAAAATAAAAATTCGCCCTAAGATATTTTGTTACTTCTGTAAGGCAAGATTGACCAGCATGGTAATATCAATGTGGCTGCTGTTGGAGCAATGTGTTATTGTTGGTTTATGGGGTTTTTAAAGTATGGTTTCTACAGTATTTGCTACTCAATAGTATGATTTTCTTTTTTTTTCTAACAGCCTTGTTGGAGAGCTGAAGTAGATAACAACAGGAAGAATTTTAAAAAGTGAATACTGATCTCATGTTTTTAAACTTTGAAGATGTGCTGTATTGAATGTGTGGACAGAATTATAGAAAGCAGAGGCTTCTCCAAATCAGTGAGTTTTATTAAGGAAATTTTTTTCCTATTTTAATATACACACAGCCCTAGCCTGTCATCATTACTTGAATTAATTCCAGTTCCTTTTTTCAATCTGCTTGCTTATATTAGCTAGAATTTTATTGGCTAAAATGGTAAACTGTTGAATTTTGTAGGATACAGCATTTTCCTTTACCTCATCCAATTCTGCAATGCTTTTCAAGAGCATATTTGAGACAAAAGTGCAGAAGTCTGAGCTGTGGAACAAATGCCTGTTATAAAATACCAAATACAATGCTACGTCAGGGAGTTTACTGACACTCATGTCACATGAAAGAACTTCTGATATTTACTTAAACCACTTGCATGCACTAATTATTTGTATAATTGACTTCAGACAAATGTTTTACTACTGCCTTTAATCTGAGGAGCAACATTGTTACTCTCAGTGTCTAGTTTTCAACATTTTTTTAATTGGCAAACTGTTAGTCACAATGTTTATTCAAACAAAATATTTGTGATTTTACATATTAAATAGAAATGCTAAAAAGGAGAACATCTTTTTAAATTCTCTTTTTGCTCCTAGAAAAGTGAAATATAGAAAAGTGAGTATTGTTAAGTCACTCTTAGGAGTAATATGTTTGCCTACCTCTGTGGACGGCAAACTGAAACAACTGGTAAAGGCATCATTGGCCTCTTAAAAGCACTTTGCCCTCTCAATTGAATCAACTATATTTGAAAGCTGTTTAGCTTTCAAATTCTAGCTCCTCTCAGATGGTGAGCTACCCCTTTAACATGAGCAGTGGGTTTAGTTAAATGTCAGTTTAGATTCCTGGCAGCCCTCCAAATAAATTAATTCTAACCAGCTCAGGCAAATGGCCCCGTGAGCCACGTGCAGCCTGGAGTGTTGCTGTGCACACACCCTCGTGAGACCAAACACCAGCTGCTGTGGGATTCTCAGCAGAGGCTGAAGGTGCTGTGGGGCCCTAAGGTGGAACTGTCCTGTTCTCAGTACCCAGCAGAGCTTGGCCATGGCACGTGTTTGGTTGTGGTCAGAACCTTGGCAGGAATTCTGTGATGTTTTATAAGTGTGGTTGCACTGCTTCCAGACCTGCACAGCTTGGGTGGGGCAGGTTGCAGATCAGCTCTGTGCTCTCCGGTGTCGCTGCTTCCTGGAGCACCAGGAGACGGCTCTTTGTGCCACTGTTGAAATATCCCATTGGTGTAACAGTTGGAGGCAGGTCCAAATGAGCAGGCAATATATTTTGATCACTGATAAGAAGCTTTTGTCTTTGATGGATAGGAATGTTTGCCATGTGGGAACAATATAAAGTCAGAAAATGTACTCCTAATTAGTATAGTATTTAAAAAAAACAAACAACATTTAAAAAAAATTTAAAATATTCCTAGTTTCAAAATGCTGAAGTTCTCTTTATTTTTTGTTTAGGTAACATCAGCAAAGTTTTTTTTCTCCTGTTTGATTTCAATGTTGATTTTATACTGAACATGCAGCTGAGTAACACTAGCTGTGGAACAGAGGTAGGGGTAAATATCTGTGAATGTAATGTGGTAGCTGGGTGTGTTGGAAGATGGCATGAAGGGGGGAAGAATTTGTGTAGTGAGTTTTAAATGGCATACAGTGTGAAAGAACTGGGGCCATGCAAGGCACAGAAGGAGAAAAAAGCAGTTTAGGACAACTGCTAATGACACTGTCTTTTCTGAGTACTGGCTGGGCTTTAAACAACAAAAAATTCACAGCTTGGCAGTCCCAGCAGTGCAAATGTGGGAAGGGCCCCTACTGTAGACTTGTGTATCTCCTGCAGAAAATGTAGTTCAAAAGGGATATCAGGGACAATTACGAGGGGCTGACCAAACCTTAACAACTTGGAAGTTAAGTTATGAATGGCCTTTGTTTAAATGGTTGCTCTTAGCTCCTGAGGCACAGCAGCGACCACCATCGTAAACACACATTTAGCACTCCTGCTGACAGTCCTTGCAGTGAGTGTTGAGAGGGCTCTTGGTGGAAAGGAACGCAAGGTCATTGTATCATCCAGTAACTGGAAAGAGTTGAGATGCGTGAAATCATGTGGGAAAGCAGCTGAATTACACCTGATCTACTACAAAGGCACATATTCCTGGTGCTCCTCAGAGGCAGGGACTGCACTTGCAAAAAAACAACTAATGATTTTAGTCATGACCTTGTGAAATCAATGTTCCTCTGGCTGATTAAAATCAAGCACGCAGCACTACAGATCCCTCATGTAACATCCTGTCTTTGGTGTTCCTCTTCCTCCCCCCACCCCAAACCCCAGCACAATGCCCTCAAATGGTGTTGTACTTGCATAATGACATTCTGGTTTGTATACTTTTTGAAAAGATATTTTAAAATTGCACATCATTGTCTTTTTTAGATGACAAATTTTTACTTCAGCTTTGTAGCAAATCATAGTGAGAGTTTTATATTTTTTTTTCTGTTATCTTAATATTGTAAAGTTGCAATTCTTTTGGTGACTTTTCCAAGAGGATGACCAATTGCTCTCTTGCTTAGTTTATATTCTGTTGCTATTCTAATGGGATGAGTGAAGAGAAGAGGATATTGTTTATTTTTACTTTCCTCTGTAGGGCTTTGCTTTGTGACACTTCTCTGTGAGATTATCCATATGTTTCCTTAGTAGTTTTCAAGGGAGACTTAATGTCACTATTATACAGAAATGATGACATGCAAGGTGCTGCTCTTCTTTTGGCGATCTTGATTTTGTTCCAAAAATTTTGTTTAAAATAAAATCAGTGAGATTTACTGTCAAGGATGTTTAAATGCTTCTTACATTGTGGAAGAAGTTAGAGTTAATTTAAAATCCTTCATTTCCCAAAATGTATTCTGAACCTCCAAAAAAAAAAAAGAGTGGTGGAAGGAAATTTCTTATAAACTTGCAGGGACACTTATAAGTTTCTTAAATTCCTGGAATTGAAAGCAACTGTATGTATGCAGTGCATCCTCCCAAAACCAGGTAGCTAATTATCTACAATAATCTTTCTAAAAGCAAACAGAATAGATCAGTGTGTCTCATAAGAGAAGCTTTATGAGGCTGCTGCACTATCTCCGATCTGCAAACAAAATTGGTAGGAATTCCCCATTTGTTTTGGAAATACTGACACTGGCAATAGTGGATTACCTATGGGTTTTTAACTAGGGAAATGTAGACAGAGCAACTGTGTAAAGAAAGGAAACAAACCTTTTGCCTTTCATTCATTCAACCGTTTTTAAGAAATGGTAAATTACCTTAATAGCTCTTACTTTAATAGCTATTTCCAAAAGGTAGGAGGTGTGTATGTACTTGGGTCTGTCCCAGTGGTCTCCTGAGCTTGGTTAAGGTTTGTAAATTCTACTGTATTCTTGGAGTCAAGTTCTTGCCCAGTAACTCAGCTCACACATACTTAATGGCATTTTTTGCAACACTGCAAGCAGGAATGGAGATTTAGTACTGAGCAGGTGGTAGAGTATTGAGGAATAGTTGTCGTGTTGATATTCTTTAAGTAATCTATTTTTAAAGTTATTTTTTTTTTTTATTACTGAGGTTCTGTAAAAAGGGAAAAAAACCCAAACCCTGAAATTCTGTAGAGTTTGAATGTCTGGGTGGTTGATGCATAACTTACCTTGTTGTGTGGCAGTAAGATTGGATTTTGGGGACTACTGATGGCCATGTCAATTGTTATGGTTTTTTCTAGCATTTTCTCATGTCTGTGTTTGAAGAGTTGGAAGGAACAGGAATTCAAGGACCCTTAAGCAAGTATTGTATCTCAGCTTGGCAGTTCAAAACCGTAACCTTCAAAGGCCAATGCTTACTTGTGAGGAAGACAGGATCATGCTCAGCTAGTACTTTAGCCTGCTAACTCATTTAGGTATGTTTTCTGCTAGTGCAGTACATTTGCTCCTCCTATTTAATATCTTTATTGATAATCTGGATGAGGGGATCAGGGGCACCCTCAGACAGGTTGTAGATGACACCAAGCTGGGTGGGAGCGTTAATCTGCTGGAAGGTAGGAAGCTCTGCGGAGGGATCTGGACAGGCTTAATGGGCTGAGGCCAATTGTATGAGGTTCAACAAGGCCAAGTGCCGGGTCCTGCATGTGGGTTACAGCAACCCCCTGCAGCGCTACAGGCTGGGGAAAGAGGGACTGGAAAGTGGCCCAGAGGAAAAGGACCTGGGAGTTCTGTTTGACAGATGGCTGACCATGAGCCAGCTGTGTGCCCAGGTGGACAGGAAGGCCAGTGGAATCCTGGCTTGGATCAGGAATAGTGTGGCCAGCAGGACCAGGGCAGTGATTGTCCCCCTGTACTTGGCACTGGTGAGGCCACACCTCAAGCCCTGTGTCGAGAGAAAAGCAACAGAGCTGGTGAAGGGTCTAGGGAGGAAGTCCTGCAAGGAGCATCCAAGGGAGCTGGGGATGTTTAGGAGGCTGAGGGGAGACCTTATCACTCTCTACAACTCCCTGAAAGGAGGTTTTAGTAAGGTGGGGTCACCCTTTTCTTCCAGGTAACAAGTTACAGGACAAGAGTAAATGGCCTCAAGCTGCACCAGGGGAGGTTCAGGCTGGACATAGCAGGAATTCCTACACAGAAAGGGTTGTTAAGCTTTGGAATGGGCTGTCCAGGGAGATGGTGGGGTCACCATCTCTGGAGGTGTTCAACAAAAGACTGGCTGTAGCACTGAGTGCTCTGGTCTAATTGACACGGTGGTGTTCAGTCAAGGGTTGTACCCAGTGATCTTGGAGGTCTTTTCCAACTTTAGCAATTCTGTGATTCTGTGCCCTGTACAGTGGGTGCTCTGTGTGGCAGCACAACATCCAAAACATGTGTAATGCAAAGGATCAATATTTTGGAGGCAAGATTAGGAATACAAGATGCGTTTACAGTAAGAAAAGGGCTTACATGGGATTTAAACGCTGTGAACTGTATGGCAACTTCCTGCAGCCCCTAAAAATTTAAATGCAGACATGAACTAAGCTGGATGCACCATGAGCAGCAGGGCCAATGTTGTCTTGCTGTGACTACAAAAATAGAAAGGTTTTTATTACCATATTCACAAACTTTTGTGAACTTTATAGAGTTATTGCATACAATGTTGTATGCAGAGCTGCAAGAAAACAGAGTATTTGTTTGAAAAATACAAATGTACTACTGAGCAGACAAAGGGGGAAAAACCACCTGGAAATGGATGAAATTCTATACTGAAAGTTTAGATGTTGCACTTTCTTGTTATGCTTATGAAATGCTAAGCAGTTTGTTAAATCTGTTTCTAAATGTCAGACTTCTGAGGGTGGCTTTGAGCCAAGGCCTGTGCTGGAGGGTAGGAAGTGACAGGCAGCTGGTTCCACTGGCAGGAAGCTGGAGCCAGGAGCATGGAATACAGAGTGTAGTGGCATCTGTTGTGGTGTTTGTCTGGACCATATTTACTCCCTCATTAGGTCAGGGCTGACTGTGGTTTAAGAAATACTGCTTCTTAAAATGGCTTTGTCTCCCAGATGCAGAAGGCTTGAAAGAAAAGGGACAACAAATCAGTAGCACAGATACTTTTCTGAAGAGGAGTGGGACGGGGAGTCTGGTTTGTTGTGGGCAGGCAAAACACAGGAAATCCTCATATACGTGAGTGATGGAGGTGGGGAGGAACAGCCTCCCAAAGAAGGAAAGCTTTGGGCACAGAGGTGGTGGTGGAGCCAATTTTATGACTGATCCAAAACTGGCTCCCTTTGATGTTGTTTTATAGTAGTCACATGTGTTTGGGGAGCTGAAGTCTTGAGGTTTAGAATTTTAGGCCTAGAAATTCTAAGATTTTGTTCTTGTAAACCTTATGCTTGCATGAAAGTAATTGGATGCAAATGTTTGCTTGTGGCAGGCTTCGTGCCCCATGTTACATCCTAAAAATCAATGGAAATATGTTTGGGAACTGTCTGATTGTTGGTTGTTGGGGTTTGTGGTGGTTTTTTCATTGTATTTTTTTTAATTGGATGTACAGAAAGAGCTTGGATGTTGAAGGTTTGCTTTTGAGCTGTTATTCTCTAGGGAGTGATCTAGTATTGCAGATCACAGTGAAAAGCAGTTTCAAGGTGTTTACATATAAACGAAATTGTTTTCACACATATTGAGGTGTGACTTGCAAGACCAAAAAGTTATGACAGCACACAATGAAAAATGGTAATGCTTTTATGAAAGCTTAAGGCCAGGCAAACTTATTGAAACTTTACAAAAAGAAGCTTACAGCAATTATGTCTTACTAGGCTGATACATGTAAAAAGAGAAGGCTTTCAGAGACCAAGGGAAGTGCTGGTGTGCCTGAAGGCTCATCTGTGTTCCTCTAATTTATCATTTAGTTTAATAAAATATCTTCTGTATAGGAAATAGAAACTGGAGCAGTTGCAAGTCCAAAATACCAGCAAGTCTAGTAAAGCTGACTGTTCCCTGTGGGGTAAAACGTCTAGAATTGTCATTAATCACAGAATCATAGGCTGGTTTGAGTTGGAAGGGACCTTAAATATCATCTCATTCCAAGCCCTAGGAATGATATTTGTCGGACAAGGATTTTAAGATGACAAGACTGAACACACAAGTACCCTGAGTGAAGCATGGATAGAAAAATATCTGTGGGCAGCCGTGTAGGTGAAGCAGCAGATGCTCAGAGGATAAGCTGTTTATGACAATAGCAACTTACAGTATCATTAAGTGAAAAATATAGAGAAGTAGAACTACAACTGAGAAGTTCTGAAGATTGTTGCTTTCCAAGCACTATGTGGGCACATTTAAGGCATCGGTTTATCCATTTATAAGCTTCTGTCACCTTCTGTGTACACTGTGTGACTTAACCACTGTAACACTCAAACAGAAAGAAGTAACTTTTAAAATCATAATTAACATACAAGTCTGGTCCTTTGACTGGTTTTGTCATTTTCCTCTTACTGGGTAGTCATCAGTGGTTTAATTCTCATAATTAAAAAACAAACAACAAAACCCAAAACAAACCAAAAACCACAAAAACACACACACACACACACACAAAAGCTAAAATTTTTAAAACATTGCAATAAAATTAAATTCTATTTTTTTCCTTTTTTTTTGATCAAGACAGTTTTTAAAGCTTTCGCATGCAATTCACTTGTTTAGAGTTAAAGCTAAGCTTTAGTAATCTAAGCATTTGCAAATGAAAGATTTCATAATGGGATAAGTAAACACATTTAAATATTGTCATGCTTAGCTATCTTCCCTGCCACTGCTGCCTCCCCTCCTCCCACCCCATACACAGAGCTCCTGACACTTCCACTTAACAGGATCCTAGTAAATGAGCCAGAAGAGCTTTGCCTTGGCACACTTCTGTTGGCTGCACTTGGAATTCAGTGATGAAACCCAGAGAGGTAACAGAACCACAAGAGTTCAACAGTCTGGTACTAGTGCTGCAAAGCATCAGATGTGTAAGGAATCCTACTATTCCTGAGACAGCTCTTTCCTGAGAATTTGGGGGCAGGGGGAAGGCATGTTATGCGGTTGGTTTTCTTAGTTTGATTCTTCTTTTTTTTTTAAAGTCTAAGTTTGAACTGGAAAATCTGTAGCACCTTCAAACCTGAGCTCATGTAACTAAAACAGCAGTGTAAGGGTTTGTCTGTGTATCAAACTAGGAGGGAAAGACTAAAATTATAATGGGATAGGATTTTAGAAATCAGGTGCTGTTATTTTATGGTAAAGAAGATGAGTTTTTTTGGTTGGGTTTTGTTTGGTTTGGGTTTTTTTGTTATTGCATAGATATTTTTGTTGGGTTTGTTTTCCCAGAAGGGAAAATTATACCTGTGTTTTCTTACCGTTTAACAGACTAATATTCTCCTGTTCATAACTATCATGGGATGAATATTTGTGCACTAGAATCATGTTACAGCAAGTGTAACAAAAATCCAGAGTGATGACAATGGGATTTGGTATTACAGCCAGTCTATTTGTAGCTGATAAAACACATTTTTACACTTATGTTTTAGTTATCCTCTCACAGGCTCCTTAACATGACACATATGTGCTTGTGTTTTTCTGCAGGAGGCAGTTTGATAGATAATAACCATCTCAAGCAGCAAAGGGAGAAACTTAATCCACTGCTTAACTACACTGACTTTTTTTTTATCAGGAGAAAATGAGTCATAACTGAGGCAGGGGAAGAATAAGATAAATAAAAGCTGCCCACAATAGCTAATAATAATTACAAAAAGTACTGTGCTGATCTTGGGATCTGGCAGCTGAGAATAATACATTTAATAGCAACATTCCTTGGTAACTTCATGAGAATGAATGTCAGAATATTTAATTGGGAATGCAGGCATTCCTTCCTGTAACAAGCATCTTGGAAGACCTTTTTTCAGTGAGCTGTGCATAAAGCTGTGAACAGGACAGTAATGTTCATGTCATCAGTCACTTGAGGCTCCATCCAGCTCTCACTAAAATCAGTGACAAAATTCTTGCTGATGTCACTGAAGTGGATGACACCTCAGATTGTGTCTGTGAAGGGGGATAACACTTGCTTTCTTTTTTCCTGTCAAGTCTGAGTAGTCTCACCCACATCTGAAAATGTAAGTTATGAAATTTCTAAGTTCTAGGCACCATTATTTTTCCTTTCTCTTCTGCTTCAACAGCAAAAAGCCTACATCCAGTCAGTCTATCCATATGTGTCTCTATTCCTGGGATAAATTTACAGTGATTTCATTTAAATGTAGGATTACCATCATAATGTGTAAGCACATAGAACATTTGAACTTCCCTCCACATAAATTTATTGCTTTTATCTTAATTTCATGCAATGTGTAAGTTAGGGTTTAGTAGTGAAAACTGGTTATTTACTTTCAAAGGGCAGTGCCAAAAGGGATAAATTTAT